CGCGGCTGCTGGTCGCGACGGCCTCGATGGTCGTGATTCGGCGGACGGCACCGAAACAGCCGCGAAATCGCGTGGAAGGACACGCAGGACACATGGTCCTAGGATCGTGAGGGGCGTGAGCCAAAATGCTCTGATACCATGTTAGAATTCTGTGAAGGATGACTTGAGAACTGAAAGAAGTTGATGATTGATTGAGGAGGATGGGGGTATACATAGGAAGTGGGTTGGATACTAGCCTAGGTGAGCATTATTGGACCCCAACCAAGAAGTTGGGTTGGGAGATTATTGGTGGGGTCCAATAATGTTGGCCAAGTTGGAGTTGGGCCAACATTATTGGAGGGGACCAATAATTCTAACCAAACCAACCTTTGGGGTCCAATAATTGGACCAAGGTTGGGTTCCAACCTACAAACTGGGTTACTCCTGTTTGTACACCCAAACTAAGTTTGGGTGCTTAACTCTAGACAAGCGAACTAGCATATGCAGGATGAATAGAATAGAGGTTTTCTAACAGCAGCAGTTCAGTGCACACACACCCTGCTAGCAGCAGCACTCCCACATGCATACACACTGCTAGCAGCAGCACTCCCACATGCACACACACTCCTAGCAGCAGCAGAGGGGGAGCAAGGGAGGAGAGGAGTGACAGGGCGGTGGCGGAGGAGGCGGCAATCAATGCGGAGATTCAGCAGCTGGGAGATTTCTTCCATGCTGATGTGTCAGCCATCCTGCAGGTAGGTCATGCTGATGTGTCAGCCATCCTGCAGGTAGGTCATGCTGATTTGTCAGCCATCCTGCAGGTAGGTCATGCTGATGTGTCAGCCATCGAGTGGTCATGTTGACGTGTCAGCCATCCTGGAGGTAAGATATTGTCAGAATCGGAAATGTTGGTTCATTGATGGTGGTTGGGGTACAAGTAGCAAACCCTAACATACGTACCCCCTAAGACAAACCTCACTACAGGCTACCAACATTTGACACACCCCCATAGCCTAAGTGAGGGGTGTCTAGCAAAACCAAAAGAGTACGGTCATAAGACCAGTCACAAAGAAACAAAGCTCAGGGTGGATCACAACGTCACCACACACTCTGAGCACAAGCAACAATGGCCACAAGGCCAGTCCAAGAAATAACAGAGTTATATAGAAAGGGTACAAGCAAAACAAACAGTGAACTCAAGACTAAGTAAGCCGAAAACCAGTGTCAACAAGGCCTAACTGCACACAACACCTGTGGTGGTCACAAGGCGGAAGCGCCTTGGTGAAGATGTCTGCAGTGTTGGCCTCAGACTCCACAAACTCGAAGCGAGCCTGCCCACGTCTCTGCAACTCTCGCAGAAGGAAGTACCTGACGTTAATGTGCTTCACTCTGCTCTCCAGTCGTGGCTCTCGACAAAGGAGAATCGATGCCTTGTTGTCAGTGAACAAGGTCGGTGCAGAGCTCGGCCGCTCACCCAGGTCGGCGAGCAAGAACGTCAACCAACGCAACTCCTGTGCCGCCATGGCACCAGCGTAGATCTCAGCCTCAGCTGTAGAGGTCGAGACCGAAGAGGAGCGCGTGGACCGCCAGGAAACAGCTCCAGAACCCAGACTGAAACAGTACCCCTGAGTAGACCTGTGAGTCTCAGCGTCGTCAGCGTAAGAAGAGTCACAGTGACCAGTAAGTACAACAGCCTGCTGCCCTCCAAGAACTAGCCCCACGCCTGATGTCGTCGCTAGGTACTTCGCCACCCTCACATCTGCTGTCCAGTGAACAGGACGGTGTCTCCCTGGCACAACAAAGCGCGCAAGGATGCTGAGAGGGAAAGCGAGGTCCGGGCGAGTACAAGTCATCAGGTACATGAGGCAACCCACAAGCTCTGCGTAGGGACCACTAGGCTCAAACGGCTCGTCAGGAAAGGGGCCAGTGAGTCTGTGGTCAACAGCAAGAGGTGTGCGCTGTACTGTGGAGTGCTGAAGCTCGAACCGCTGAAGGACCTGCTGCACCATGTGTGACTGTGAGAGTGTAATGGTGCGAGCAGCTCTGTCCCTGGTGATCTGCAGCCCAAGGTAATGGCGCAGCTCACCAAGGTCAGTGCACGTGTGTCTCTTCTGCAGTTCGGACTTCACGTCTGCCAAAGCAACCCTGTCAGCAGTGGCGAAAACTAGGTCGTCGACGTAGACCAGAACGAAGAACGGTGTGGAGCCACGGCGAACAAACAGCGACGGGTCGGCAGAAGACGGCTGGAACCCAAGGTCAGAGAGGGTAGAGCGGAGAGTGTCGTGCCACTCACGAGGGGCCTGGCAAAGACCGTAGACAGGTCGCCTCAGCCTCCACTGGGTCCCAGGAGGGAAAGTGCCAGTGAAGGCAGAGGGACGACGCAGCCAGACCTCCTCGTGTAGGCTGCCCTGAAGAAAAGCAGTGGAGAAGTCGAGAGAGTGTAACTCGTAGTCTCTCTGTGCTGCTACGTGCAGTAACACCCGAAGAGTGGTCATCTTCGGGGTCGGCGCGAAGGTCTGAAAGAAGTCAACTCCCTCGCGCTGATTGAAACCTCTAGCAACGTAGCGCGCCTTGAAGACTGGAGGAGATCCTGGTGGCCGCTTCACCCTGTAGATCCACATGCCATCGACTACGTTCGTCCCAGGGGGAGGAACCTCATCGACGTAGGTGCCTGTGGATCTGTAGGAGGCCATCTCTGCGTCCATGGCAGCTCTCCACTGAGAGGCCCAAGGCCCTGACACTGCCTCAGCGTAAGTGCAAGGAGTCGGAATGTCAAGGGCGTCGGGGTCACCCTCAGGGGTGAGGAGCATGGCACAGAGATGAGGGGAAGCGGCCGCCAGGAACTCTAGCTCAAACTGCCTGTCCTCTAGGACGTCACAGCCAAGGGCAGACACACCCCCGACGGCCAGAGGACTGGTAGGAGGAGCAGCCACAAGAGTGGTGGCGTAGTCAAGGCGGCGAGTAGAGGCAAACTCAGTGACCGTGGCAGTAAGAGCGGAGACGGAGGACAAAGAGGCACGAGGGTGGGTAACAAGAGAGGCGAGAACACGAGAGAGAACAGGACGGTACGTGCGGTAGTAGTCAGTGATAGGGGTAGAGAGAGAAGCTGTGAGGGCCGACTCAGGAGGAGAAGGAAGCACAGGAGGAGCCGAACGAGACGGACTAGAACGTAACAAGACAGTACGAAGGTCTGTGAAAGGAACAGGGGACGAGGGACGAGCACGAGGAGAGCGACGAGTAGCCCAAGTACGAGACGGAGGAGGAGAGGACAAAGGCAGAGAACTGGGGAAAACAGCGGGGGAGGAGTCAGGAGGAGGAAACGTGGGACCGTAGACAGGAGGAGAGGCGGAGGAGGGAGGAGAAGGAGAGGGGAGACCAAGGGTCCGAAGGCCCGAGACAGGAGGAGGAAGTGGCTGCTGCTGCTGCTGCTGCGGCTGCGGCTGCTGCTGGGACTGCTGCTCCTGCGGGTCCAGCTGCTGCTGCTGCTGCTGCTGCTCCTGCGGCTCCAGCTGCTGCTGCTGCTCCTCCAGCCGCTGTAACTCCCTCTCCTCTCTCTCCAACGCCAGCTGCTCCTCACGGGCACGGCGAACACGAGCCTGGTGCCTAGTCGGGTAGGGGTGGGGGGGCGGAGTAGTGTCCGGAGCAGCGGCAGCTCCAGAGTCCACCCCCGAAGGACCAGGCGCACCACCCCCAGACGGAGCACCCCCAGTGTCCGCGCGACCAGCACCAGCTCCCGGAAGACAAGAGTCCTCTGCACCCACCGGCTCAGCTCCAACTCCAGCACCCCCAGAACCAGAAACCGGTACAGGAACAGGCTCGGCACCAACCTCTCGAGAGCTAGCACCTGCAGCACGCTGCGAGGAGGACTGTGGGGAGGGAGGCTGTACCGGAGGGGCTACCGAAGGAGGAGGGGTAGCCTGGGACACACCTGACGGGGCTGGACCAGGGGGGGAGGCTGTACCGGGGGAGCAGGAGGGGGAGCGGCAGTCAGGAAGAGGGGGGGAGGAGGAACCGGGAGACCTCGACTGGGGTACCTGACGTAGTACGGGGTGGACTCCTCGAAACGGACGTCACGGGAGTCAAAGAACCGGTGAGAGGGAGGGTGGTAAAAGGTGAAGTCAGAGGAGGCCTCAGGAAAACCAAGGAAGACACAAGGAACGGCGCGAGGCGAGAGCTTGTCCGCAGAGGTGTCGCGGACAAGAGCCAAGCAACCCCAGACACGAAACCTCGACGCAACACCAGGGGACCCGGTCCAAAGACTGGTCGGCGAAGCCTCTGGCCGAGAGACGCGTGGCCAGAGGTTCAGCTGGTGCGCGGCGTACCGAACCGCGTAAGGCCACAGAAAATGGGGGGCACGGGCGTGAGTCAGGGAGGTGCGGGCAATCTCCATGACCAAGCCTATGCGGCGCTCAGCAACCCCATTCTGCTGTGGGGACTCTGGAAGCGTCCAGGACTGACGAATGCCCTGCTCGCGACAGAATCCAGCGAGAATGCCGGAGCGAAACTCACCCCCGCGGTCAGAGTGAAGACAGCTGACACGACGGCCACGAGTGTCCTCGGTGGTGAGCAACCACCTGATCAGCGTAGAAGTCACCTCAGACTTCTTCGCCAGGGGGAACACTGTGGTGTAGCGGGAGTAGTCGTCAACAACCACCAGAAAGAAACGCTCACGCTCAGGGCCAAGGCGAGAGGCGGGGCCCCAGACGTCCAGGTGAAGCGTCTCAAACGGCTCGGTGGCCGGACGAAGGGAGGAGGAGTGAGGGGTGGTGCGCAGCCGACCCTCGACGCAAGGACCGCACGGTGGTGCAAGGGACGGCGGCAGCGACGGCAAGACACGCGGGAGACCTAAGACCAGACGCTGACTAGACATAGCACGCAGACGTGGAAGAGAAGGGTGTCCCATCCGGTGGTGCCACAGAACGGTGGGGTGGGCAAGCGACCGGCAGGAGCAAGACGCAGCGACTGGACTGGACGCGACAACCTGAGGGGACGGAACCACCTGGTGAGACGCAGGGAGGAGACTAGGGGGAGGGACAGGAACTGGGAGTAGGGGCTGCTGCGACGGCGGCCGCTGCGGCTGCTGCTGCTGCTGCGGCGGCGGCGACTGCTGCTGCTGCTGCTGCTGCTGCTGCTGCTGCTGCTGCTGCTGCTGCTGCTGCTGCTGCTGCTGCTGCTGCTGCTGCTGCTGCTGCTGCTGCTCCGGCTGCTGCCGTGCACGCGGGCCAGCGTGAAGAGTGTAGAGACCGGAACCCGGCTCAGCAGCAAAGGTGGCCAGAGGCTGGTAAGAGTCCCCGTCAACACACACCGCAGTCTCCCCAGAAGGCTCAAACCACACACCCACGTGCTGACTCACGAGGGGTCGCACGCCCACCAAGTTCCGGGAGAACGAGGGGACATGAAACCCAGTGAGAGACCCGGAGGGAGCAGCAGGACACGGCAAAGTGGTAGTGTGACGCGCAGTGACTGGTCCCGAGGTGGGATCAGCCAGTGCCACAGAGACAGGCGCAGGAAGTGGCGTAAGTGTCGTGCTGTCACGAAAGAAGCAGTGCGAGGCTCCAGAGTCCAGCGTGAAAGACAGTGAAGCGTCCTCCGAGGTAGCCGCTGGACTAGTGTCTACACAAGAACCTACACTAGCAACAGGCAACTGAGCAAGGCTAGCACCTAAGCTAACAACACCAGAGTAAACAGAGTCAGAAACACTAGAGTCAACAACAGCATACATAGCATGAGGAGTTCCAATCAGATCAGCTAACTGCTCGGCAGACATGTCCCACAGAGCGGAACCGTAACGCTGAACAAGGGGAAACCAGTCAGGGGCAGGACCGCCAACCCCGTAAACCAAACGAACCGTGTCAGTGAGCTGAGCAAAACACTGACCAGGGGGGTGAAGGCGGCCACAAGGGTGGCCCCGGCGAGCACCTGTCAGAACCTGATAGGCGCAGGGAGGGTAAACAACACCACGCTGCGGCTGACGCGGCCCCGACCCCGAAGCCAGCTGCGGCCGCTGCTGCTGCGGAGGCTGCTGGGAGGAGAGGGGCTGCTGCTGCTGCTGCTGCTGATGCTGCTGCTGCTGAAGCTGCTGCTGACGCTGGGCCCGGTACCACGCCGCTGCTCCACCCACCGGGGCTGGCAGTACAAGGGGCGACTGACGAACGCGGGCGTCGCCACCACCAGCAGTCGCAGTGGAGTCACCGGTCGCTGCACGAGACGTCTCTCCAGGCCCTGCACTCCCACCACCGCCAGTCGCAACGCCACCCCCACTACCTCCGCCTCCACCAACGCCGCCGCCAGCACCGCCCCTCTTGCCACCCCTACCGCGGGACCGCGACGAAGTCGTAACAGCAGCTGCGGTCGCGTCAGTAGCGGCAGTGGCGAGAGAGGCAGTACCATGTCTGAATCGGAAGTGTTGGTTCATTGACAAGTAGCAAACCCTAACATACGTACCCCCTAAGACAAACCTCACCAACATTTGACAGATATAAATATTATTCAACCTTCTAAGTGATATTGCTCGGAGAAATAGGCCGTAATACATTGGCTTGGCGCATGTAAGGCTTTCAATGCCGCAATGCCATTTGGGGGTATTGGTTAAAAAGGCATGGTTATCACAAGTAGTAGGCTTACAATGTTGTTCCCTTTTTTATTTCCATCAGAGTTGCTATCCTCTCGTGCGTACTTGTACCGACCGCATGGCATGCAGGTGGCTCGCAATCCAGCAGAGAAGCTGCCGTCGAGCATTCGAGACCTTCTGCAGCAGCTGAATTACAACCGCTTCTATGGATGAAAGCACTGTGCTTGTGTATCTGCTATGATAATAAATTGTTCGTTTGGCTACACAACACATGTTAGGCTGCATCATTCGGTGGCAAATTTGAAATTCAGGCAGTTAAGGAAACTGCTTTATGTGTCTAGAAAACTGAAATGGTTACACCTCGTGCTACCTGGTTACCTATCTCTCAACCAGCTTTCGCGTTTTCTGTTCCCTCTCGTCAGACTCCTCGCTGCTCCATCCTCGCGCTGCTTCTCGCCCCAGCGATCAGTCTTCGCAAACCTTCTAGAGCAAACAAAGCTATCGGTCTTCCCGCGCAATAGCTGGTTCGACCTCACGACCAATCCGTCCATAGGCTCCTCAGGACCAACCAGCTATTGCGCGCTGCGTTCGAAGGCGGCTAGCAGAGCAACCAGTCACGCTCCAGAGCTCCTCCGTCCCGCCATCGGCCGCCGCAGCTCATACTCTTGCTATCCTCGCCGTCGCTTCCTCTTCAGCCACAGCATTGCCCTTTCTGTCCTCGTTTGTCCCAGCATCCACTCCTAATCGCTCGCTGCGACCGCGCGTTCTGTTACGGTAGCCGTTCCGTAGTCGCCGTAGGTTAACCGGACCTTCGAGGACCCTAGCGGGTCGCGTTTAGATTCTTCACTCCGAAGCAGACGGCCCGACGAGAGCAAAACCGGACTGACTCGCAGTTAGCAGTTGTTGCAACCGGCTAGCCGGCAAGATGGGCGACAATCTCTTCACTCTTTGGCCGTTCCTTATGGTTCTCATCGGCCTGATCCTCGCCGTCCGTTTGCTCCGCAAGCCGAAATGCAGCGACGCGCACTGGTGGCTCTGGCTCTCGCTCGCCGCCACCATCCTCCACAATTTCGAGGAAACCGGCTTCGACGTTCTCGGCCGTCGATTCCACATCCACGCGTTCGTCTGCGCACGGCTGGGATTGTACCGCGCGGAGATCGCGCTGTGTCCCGCCGATGCTCCGTTCTTCTTCCTCGTGAATCTCGTGCACACGTGGTTACTAACTACGATGGCGATTACCACCGGGCCGCGACAGCCGCTCGGCGCTGCGATCGCCGTCGCGATTCCGCTCATCGACGCCGTTTCGCACGTGTTTTTCGCCGCCACTTCGCTCAGTTACAACCCCGGTTTGGTCACCGCGATTCTCGTCACCGGACCTGTAGGTTTGGGGTTCTTCCGAACCTGCAGGGAGCGGGGTTGGCTGCCGGACCAGCAGCAGTCGGTAGCCTTGGCATGTGGCGCGCTGGTATTGGTCAGTTTCTGGTTCGGATTAGCTCTGGCAGCAGCAGGGCGAGTGAGTAAACCGGCCCTGTGGTGGGCTGAAATGGCCAAGGGCTTTCTGCCGCTGCTGGCACTGCTGTTCAGAAGAATACCCCTTGTTAAAATGTATTCCATGACTGAGTGATAGTGTGTACCTTCATACCTACCTATGTACTAACCTACCTTCTGACCAACTAGTTCCTACCCAACCATTGGATGAGGGGAGCAGCTTTGGCATGGTGTGGTGGTGCTGTTGCTGCAGCAGCAACGGATTCAGGGAGCAGCTTCGGTGGTATGACCCTGTGGTGGGCTGAAATGGCTAAGGGCTTTCTGCCGCTGCTCCATGACCGAGTGACGATGGTAAAGGGTACCATACCTGGTTTCTTACCAGTGCCCTAGATATCAGACTTTAAAGTCTGATTCAGAGTCTCGTTCAGACTTTTTTTTTGTACCGTAATCACCCGGACATAACACCCGGGGGTATTATGATAACCACAGGGAAAAAAGGGGGGGGGGTGCTCTCAACGGAAAATCCTATATAATACCCGGGTGGTTATATATGGCACTTTTTAGTGTAAGAAAAAAGTTGTATTAGACAATTTGGGTGTTTCAATAGTCGTTTTAACATCACAGGTTGAGGCGAGAATTCGCGTTTTGGCGAGAATGTGAGTTTCACCTCTCGGGCCACGTGCAGCGGAAGATTCGCCAGCGTGGCGACAGCGAGATTGTGGAAGGGAGGGAATCTCGGTAGATTCGAAGTGAAAGTGCACGCGAAATTTCATTCAGGAAGCGATTTTCGTCATATCCTCCCGTAAAAAATCTGACTCGATAACAGCTATAATAGGGTTTCGTAAGAAAAGGGGGGTGTTATAGAGAATCACCCCAAAAGGGGGGGTATAGTACAAACGAGGTCGGCTATAGCACCCCCCCCGCACAAGCTACCCGGGGGTGTACTATTACGGGGGGGTGTTTTGTCCGGGTGATTACGGTACCTAGTCTGAGTCTAAGAATTTTTTTATGTACCTTGTCTGATTTTTCAGAGGTTTTTTTTAATGAGTTGTCTGAAATTTCAGCCTAGTTTTTTAAGTGAAGGCTGAGCCTCAGACTTATATCGAGGGTACACTCTGCGCGCTTATCGAAGCGAAGTTTCCTGGAAAATTCCCTTCAATATGCCCACTTCCGAGATGGCAGTGGAGTGCCAGGACGTGAGCAACGCACACTTCAACAGCTGGGACATCCGAATACACTCGTTCGTCGAGAAGATCTTCCCGTTACGCTGAGGAATTGGTTGCGTGATTACGAGATTTTTAAGAAAAAACATCGTCACATGTAAGTTACCGCTAATTTATTGTACAGAATAGGAGACTTCGATGCTGATTCGCTGACAAAACATCAGCAGCACGCACTGTTTTGAAATTGAGAGGGTCCTGAATCTGATTCGAAATTTCGTGGTAAAAGTTTCATGTGAAAGTTTCGTGTACTTGATGCCCACTTGACAGCTCAGCTGCGTGGCAGATCGGGTGACCGATCGCATCGCTAGATACGCAAATCCATTGACAAAATTGGCACACGGGCGAGAAAATGGGTACAGAACTGTCAAAATGAGGAATGGATGATGCATTGATGTTGGTTGGGGTACATATAGCTAACCCTAAGTTTTGTACCCCCTAAGACAAACCTCACTATAGGCTACAACATTTGACACACCCCCATAGCCTAAGTGAGGGGTGTCTAGCAGAACCAAACGAGTACGGTCACAAGACCAGTCCAAGAAACGAAGCTCAGGGTGGATCACAACGTCACCACACAGTCTGAGCACAAACAACAGTGGCCACAAGGCCAGTCCAAGAAGTAACAGAGGTATATAGAAAGCAAAGTAAACAGTACACTCAAGCCTAAGCAACACGAGAACCAGTGTCAACAAGGCCTAACTGCACACAGCACCTCTGGTGGTCACAAGGCGGAAGCGCCTTGGTGAAGATGTCTGCAGTGTTGGCCTCGGACTCCACAAACTCAAAGCGAGCCTGTCCACGCCTCTGCAACTCTCGTAGAAGAAAGTACCTGACGTGAATGTGCTTCACTCTGCTCTCCAGTCGTGGCTCTCGACAAAGGAGAATAGACGCCTTGTTGTCAGTGAACAAGGTCGGTGCAGAGCTCGGCCGCCGTCACAGCAGCCCCTCCTCCCAGTTCCTGTCCCTCCCCCTAGTCTCCTCCCTGCGTCTCACCAGGTGGTTCCGTCCTCTCAGGTTGTCGCGTCCAGTCCAGTCGCTGCGTCTTGCTCCTGTCGGTCGCTTGCCCACCCCACCGTTCTGTGGCACCACCGGCTGGGACACCCTTCTCTTCCACGTCTGCGTGCTATGTCTAGTCAGCGTCTGGTCTTAGGTCTCCCGCGTGTCTTGCCGTCGCTGCCGCCGTCCCTTGCACCACCGTGCGGTCCTTGCGTCGAGGGTAGGCTGCGTGCCACCCCTCACTCCTCCTCCCTTCGTCCAGCCACCGAGCCTTTTGAGACACTGCACTTGGACGTCTGGGGCCCCTCTCCTCGCCCTGGCCCTGAGCGTGAGCGTTTCTTTTTGGTGGTCGTTGACGACTACTCCCGCTATACCACAGTGTTCCCCTTGGCGAGGAAGTCTGAGGTGACTTCTACGCTGATCAGGTGGTTGCTTACCACCCAGGACAC